AAAATGCTCTTCTGATCACTATGGCTTTCATTACCCATAGTGCCCCAGACAAAGAAAAAGTTAGCTAAGGTGGACGGCATCACAGAGATGAGTCCGTCCCAGGTAGTGGACTTGGCATTTAGGGTTTATAATAATAGAGAGGACAGGAGACCGAAACCCTGCGACTGTTTTCTTACAAAGAGAACACAGAACAGGGTTTCAGGGAAACAATAATGGACAGAGATGCGAACCCCTAGGAAGAAATCAGGGTGCTTTCTGTAGGGAAGAGGGACATTGGAAGTACAGTTGTCCCAGGTTACAGGGAAGCGGCAGACTCAATAATTATAGAAGGCAGGATAGAAGACAGAACCCTAAGATATGATGATTCACATAGGGGTTACAGGAGGGAATATAGAAGGAGCACACAGAACCAGGAACCAAGGAGAGAGGAAAGAAGACAAATGTTAGTACAGAGTGGAAGCTCAGATGATGACAGGGAATACAGACAGAGAAGGAATCAAGAACCCAGTACAGAGGGAAGGAGACAAATGACAGCACACGGTAGAGCCTCAGGTGAAGATAGGAGGGAATATAGACAGAGTGGAAGGAATCTAGAGCCAAGTGCAGAGGAGAGGAGACAAATGACAGTTCGTGGAGAAGGTTCAGATGCAGAATGGAGGTGCCCAAGGGCTCCACTAGATCTAAAGAAAGCCCCAGGAGGAACTGACCCAGAGACGAAGTCCCATTGGTCTTGTGCACCCATGGAGGACTTGAGATATTTGTTTAAGAAACAGACAAAAACTTGAATATTACTGACTTCTTTTCTAGTTATTGTTGCAGGATACCCAAGGACTCACTTTTTTTCTGAAGAAACCCTGAGAAAACTAACATGCTCTAACCAATCTTCTTCCTTTCAAAGTTTAGGAGACGCGAAATAACATCTAGGATCCTGCATATGCTGCCAGTATTTTTTTACACAGAAAGGTGTTCAATCTTGATTTTGGTATTTCTTTTTAACTTTGAGATTTTTTTCTCTGCTTTTTTTTTTGTTTGTTTCTTTGGCCAATGAGTGAAACTGCAGTTGTATGGGATATCCCACGCGTGATAAATGGTACCTAAAGAGCTCTTTGTGTCTATATGTTGTGTGTCTGTATGTCCTTTCCTTGTGTCCTTGTCTTGACCTCCAGTGATTGACAAATTGGTATACATGGTGCCCATAGGCGTTGGGAAAAAAAAAAGAGTCTCTAGTTATGAGGAAACATAAAGGTTATGGTTTCATTGTCAACATTGTACTACTGAACTAAGCCGGTGCCTTCATAGAGATTGAACATTGTTGTTTCTGTTATTTTTCTGATATTTATGGCAAAGCTTCCCAGAAATCTAAATTCAAGTACAAATTTGGTAGCCTGTCATTTGGCCGATGCAAGGAAATTTTGTGGAACCTCAGCAGAGCTCCTGAGACACTCCACAAAGTTTCTCCCTTTCCTCCTGGGAAAGGCATTAGATGAATTTGTTCTATTTGGCTCACCTAGTAGAGTAAAACTAGAAGGGAAGCATTGTCACTTGGGAAAACGGGTAATAACACCTTGACCTTATATGGATGTAAATTGTCAATGAATGATTGTCACCTTGTAATATTGTATACTTCAATTGTTTAATATCTACAGGAATTGTTTCTGGAAATATAGGGAAAAAAGGTCTCAACAGATTCCTATTGATGGAACTGTTGAGAGTAAAACTTTTCTACTAAGGACTGAATAGACTTGGAAATACACCTCATATTTACTAAGTTTTCCTTGACATAATACTGATGATTTTTTTGCATTTTGTTCTAAATCCACAAAGTTTTCTTGTTTTGGTGACCAGGATCTGCAGCAAGGTTGTAATTTTTTTCCAACAAAGCTAACTTGTGTTTGCATTTTCTCTTCCCTTGATACCAACACAGCATAAAAATAGTGGTAGTAATCTTTTACTACTTATCTCAGAGTCTGTTTTTGCATAACTTCCATAGGGATTTTGTTTAAACTGAAAAAAATTGGACATAAGTTTCATTGTGTGGCTATGTGTGGAGTTCTTCCAGAAAGTTGAAACAGAGCTGAAACAAGAAGAGGAGAACCTGTTTGCTTTGTTCATAGGGTTCCAGAGACCTCCAAAGAAGGTGAGGAAGCTTGCCTCCATTGGCAGGACTGGACAACCCGGCCAACGAAAAGTCCCTAGTACCCTCGAGAAGAGGAAAGCCCAGGTGGAGTCTGATGAGACCAACTTGTTCCAGAAGCCTACACGGACCGGATGTCAACAGTTCGCTCTGAATCCTATATGGAGTATTCCAACGAAGCCAGCTAAAAATTGCTGCTTAGTTATTCTGCCCTGTGATTTTGTGCAAAAATAGGCAATACGGTTTAAAAAGTAGATTTAGTTTGCAAACTTTTGCTATGCTGTTAAAAAAATTTGGGATCAAGGTTGAGAGAATTTGTTTTTACATAAGTTGAACCATTTTAAGATTTTTTTTTCCTGTGATTTTTGACATATCTGCTGTCTTGTTCTGGCTAATGCCTCCAGATGTTTTCTTTCAGCTGGGACTGATGAACTGTTTTTCCAGGAATGGAGGACTTTTGCTTTCCACAATGGACACTACCTGGAGGGATTCGTTTTCTTTCAGACTGGAACCCTGGAAAATTTTCATCTGAGACTGTATCCCAGCATCCATATGTTTGATCTTCACCACCATAGAAATGGTGGCAAAAAAGTGAAAGGGGGGAATTGTTAGGGGGAAATGATGTTCTGAGTTAATACCATACAGGCTTTGTGGACCCCACCCCCACTCCAGACTAAAGCCATCAAGACATTGGGAAAGACAAATCCCATCACCACCAAAGGGAGGGTGGCTGGGACCTGAGGGTGGAGTTGGGCAGCCAGGTTGGATATAAAAACCAAACACGTGGGCCTTGGGCTCTCTTGCGCTCTGTCGCTCGCCTCCTGGCTTCATGGCTCCTGGCCAGCTCTCAGAGCGCCATTTGGGATTCCAGATCAGCGGATCGGGTAGGACTCATTTAAAACTTTGTCTCCCACTTTTCCTCCCTGAGCTGTACATTTCCTCATTTCCCCTTCCCTTGTAAATAAACCTTTTATGAACCTTTCACGTGTGCCTGCAGTAGAGCATTGATTAGTCCTTTTAAGCGCGCGGGTGAGGACCCACAGTCAGGCACCCCGTTTTGTATCGGGGTTGCTCTACAACAATTGCAGCACTATTTACAATAGGTAAAACCTGGAAACAACCCAAATGCCCAAAAATAGATGACTGTATCAAGAAGATGTGGCATATATACACCATGGAATATTGCTCAGCAATCAAAAAAGATAAACACATGCCATTCACAGCAACGTGGATGGAGCTAGAAGGAATTGTGAAAGATTCCTTTATCTTTATTCCAGAAAGATAAAAGAAAAATATTGGATGATTTCACTTACAGCAGGCAGAGGAGGATGAATTCCTCATATCTTGGGGTAAACACTGCACCTGTCATGTGCCCCCAATATCTACAGATGATAGAGGGTGTCTTAAGGTCACCAGCTTCCAGGTACAGGACTTTGGCTTCTGAAATTCACCCACGAGAGATGCCTTTTAAGATATTATGGGTCGGGCCTCCCCGGTGGTGCAGTGGTTGAGCGCTGGGTTGAGAAGCTGCCCGCGGCCTCTGCGGCACCGGTTCGATCCCTGGCTGCTCCCTGGCCACCGCAGGAGGGTCCCACATGGCACAGAGACCCTCCTCCCTCTCCTGCTGCCGAAGTACAGCAGTGTACTTTGGTCCTTCTGCCTGCTCTGCTCCCCGCTCTGGCTCTGGTGAATTCTCTCACCCTCCCGCGCTTCTGACTGTACCCAGTGCTTGTATAAACAAAACAAGCAAACAAACAAACAAATAAAAAAAAATGCCTCTATTTAAAAAAAAAAAAAAGATTATGGGTCATTGAAGAAATAGTTCTTGATTTCTGAAAGTACAGGCCACGTGATTGGGATGCTGGGGCCCAGGGGGGCTGCTGGGAGGAGAGCCACAGGAAATGGCATTTCCACCTGCTTCTCAGCTACACCTGGTGGCATGTGGAGGGGCGGGGAGTCCTGGTCTGGGCAAGAGTCTCCACCTGCCTCAGCTGGGCTGGGACAGCTCTGGGCTTCTCTGAAGGAAAAGGGCCCCTTCCTGGGGTGGAGTCCTTTGCTCTGGGCCCCCTGGGGCTGCAGGGGGGACTGTGGGGGGCAAACCAGTGGGGAGCACTGACCAATAAGATGGGGCGTTCCAGAGGGCAGAGGCTGCTCTACAGAGAGAAATTCCAGGAGGCCTCTGATGGGGTGAACTCCTCAGCCTGAGGGAAAAGCCAGAAGAGGAGCAAGGGAAAGTGAGGAGACAGGGCTGCTGGAATCCAGTTCTGGGCACAAGGGGCGGCAGGGACTGAGTTTAAGGAAAAGCGGGTGGGGTGCAACAGGCACCCCACACACATCCCAGGGGTTGTCTGAAAAGTCCGGGTTTCCTCTTGATCTGGCATCCGAGGAAGGACCGTCTGAGCGCGGCTGCTGCGGGATCGCGGCTGCTGGGTCACCTGGAGCAACAAGCTCCGCGGTTGCTGGAAAGCGCAGCTGGAGGCGCACAGCACCTTTCCTCTGCGGTTTTCCTGTGAACTCAGTCGCCTCCGAGTGCGGCGTGGTTTCGGGGACTGACAGCTCCCCCCGACCACCCCCGCCCCTCACCCGCCCCCCGCAGCTCCAGGCCCCCAGCGCATCCCAGACAGTGAGCAAAGGTGCTGGGTGGCGCCGCAAGCCCTAGGGAGGGCGGGAATCGGGCGCGCAGCTGGCAAGAGCGGCCGGGGAGCCGCGTGGGGGGCGGGCTGAGCCCGTGGGGAGGGAATGGCCGGGGCTGGAAGAGGCTGTGCCGGCGGGGCCGGGCCTGGCCCTGTGTGCGCAGCTTTAAAGGAAGTGAGCCCGGAGCGCGGGGCGGGCCGACGTGAGGCCGCGGGGGCTGCGCGCCCTCGGAAGCGCCCAGGACGCACCCTCGGAAGCGCCCAGTCCGGTCTGGCCGCGTGATGACTCCCCTCGGGGCCGCGGGGGTCTTCTGCGTGTTGTCCTTGCTCGGTGAGTGGCGCCCCCCTGTGTCCGCCGCGGGGGGTGCCGGGCGGGGCCCGAGGGGCGGTGGGGTCGGCGCTGAGGAGGGGCGCGGGGGGGGGGGAGGCCTCGCGCGGGCCGGCTGTCCGGAGAAAGATGTCACTGCACCCCTCCCTTGGAGCGCAGGGGGGGGGAACTTAGCCCTGGGGCGCCTGGGTCTGGCTGGGGAGGAAGTGGGGGCTCCAGTGCTCTCCGCGGGGCTCATCTCTCTCTCTCTCGGGGCCTCTGAAGCCCCAGGCGGGATCCAGGCTCGCGCTCCCGCAGCCTTCCCGGGAAGGTTGTGGCTTTTCCCTGAATTCAGTTACTTCTCGGCCTTCCGAGCCGCCCTGGCCTTAGACTTGGGCGCACAGAACCGCGCTGGGCCGCCCTCCGGCTCGCCCCACCAAGGCCTTGGGGGTGGATCCCCGCCGGGGTGGGGGCGCCCCGCCTCCTCTGCGGGTGCTGGGCTTGCTGGCAAGTGGGGGGGTGGGTGGCCTCTGCGCCCTGGTGTGCCAGCGTGGGGTGGGAAGCCGGCGCCGGCAGGGGAGAGAGTGGAGAGAAAGGTTTGAGCAGGGGACCCAGTCAGCGCTTCGGGTTCCTAAGTGGGCAGTGAGGGCGCGTTTCCCCGCCCTTTGGTCTTAAAGGAACCAGAAAGTGTCTAGAACCGCCTGGTTCCCTTTCTAGCTTGAGGGAAATCAGCAGGACAGTCCCATGACATGGGTATCTTTGCCTTGGTTTTTACTTCCTTACCCACCCGAATGCCTCCAGTCTGGGGGCAAGTCACAGTCAACCCCCTGGAGAGTAGCCCCCCTAACTCATTCTTCCTTTGGGGAGAGGGGTGTGGGCCAGGTTCCTCTGTTATCCTTTGTACAATCTGTCAGATCACAGTTCCACTCCAGTCTTCAGCCTTTTCTGAGTCACTGCCCTTTACATTCTCCTGTTACAGGGCAGGGAGAGGGGCAGCCCAAAACCCCGCAAACCTGCCTGTTCTAAATGGGTTCTGCCATCTGCCACATCAACACAAAACATATGAGACTTTAACGGGAAGGAACTTTAATAAAACTAGGAAACAATACAGGTAAGGCAAAGAGTCTAGTTTCTAAATGAAGCACCCAAAGTTACCCGTCCCCTCGTGGGTAAAAGTCTACCCAAGCGGGATTGGCCCAGAGCAAGGCCCCAAAGCCTGCCACAAGTCTAAAGCACCTTCCAGTGGGGACCCACAGAAAAGGGTCAGAAACAACCAGACAAGCCCAGAAGGAAAAGAGCAAAATCAACATCAAGATAAAAGCTGCCATGGTCACCTCCCCACGGGTCTCACCCACATCTGTGTCACCCCGTCCACGACCAAAAGACAAGCGCGGTTTCTTCACCTGTCTCGAGGCTCCATGAGCCTCCTCCAGGTCTCCTGGCTCCATCCTGCTTCCTTCCTCAGTGTCTTCTGCAGCTTCTCCTCTCCCTGCTCAGCTCCACCCTCCCTTGGGAGGGCCAGGGAACCTCCCCCTTTCGTGGGGACCACCCTGTTACACTCCCAGGTGTACCACCTGGGGGAGGGTTTGGGGTTGGCTCAAAGGTTCCACAGTGTCAGATACAAGTTTGGGGGGGGGATTAAAAGAAGCTCCAAAGCCCTGGGCCTGCAGAGGAGGCGAGCCTTGTCTTTTGTGAAATCAGGCATCCTCTGTGAAGCAAAGCCTTCCAGGGAGGGAGGGTGGTGGAACCTGGCTTCCTAGGAGGGAGGTGCTGGAGCTGCAGTCATGTGGGAAGAGATCCCAGGAGGAGGAAGCCAGGCAAGGAAGCCAGGGAGCAAGAGTTTACAGGTGAACGTGGGCAATAAATGGTCCCTCCTCCGTGTCCCCCAGGGACACTGGACACACACTCCAGGTGTGCCGAGGGCAGTTTCTGAGGGCTCCCTTTCTGGGAGAGAAAGGATAATAGTGTCGTAAGAATTCATACAATTATTGTAGACATCAGTTGCTCAACAAATACTGGGTGTCAGCTGTGTGGGGGTGTTGCAGAAATAAATTCTAGCTTCTTACCCAGGCAAGGGAAGAACAAGCGGTACTTCAGGAATGGTGAGGTAATTTATTACTCATGCATGAGGTCCCAGACCTGGGTAGCCCCATAAGGTCTTAGCACCCCTCTAGAGACAACGAGTTTCTTTTATACATAATCATTTTCATTGATAACATTGGTTAGTTAGCATACAATTTCTTGACAAAGGAAAAGGGGAAGGATGCAGATCTTTGAGAATGGCCCAGGAGAACAACCAGCCTAGCAGGCTGGCAGGCCTTGTTTAGATCTGCTTATTAAGGAAGCAAACTTGTCTCCTACTTACATTTCCATGTCTATGGCTCTTTAACAGGGAAGGATTTCCTTTTCTTAGCAGTTCCCTTTTCCTTAACATTTCCCCTTCAGGGGGGCACTGTACCAGGCCCCTTCCCCCCCAACCACCAGCACACAGCAGGGGACAACCACTCCCTGCTCAGGTGCTGGAGGAGGGGGAGACAGTGAAAAAGAGCAAATAGAGAAATGTGGGGTGATGGCACAGCACACAGTTACTAATACAGAGATTAGGAGAGCAGAGAGGAGGGGGAGCTGTTAATATTTCTTTTTAAATTTTCAAAACTTTGGAACACTCAAAAGCTTTAGAACAGTAAAAATAGTACAATGGATACTACACACCTTTCTCATCGATTTTACCTCATTTGGTTGATTTCTCCTTTGTAGATACAAGCCCACACTCACACCGCAATGCACTAAATAGGTTATTTTTTGCAAGACCTTTTGAGAAATGCAAATCTCATTGTTATAGGGCAGCCCCAATATTGAACTGGACTGCATCCCAACCTCCATATATTCGATCTTCATCACTATGGAAATGGTGACAAAAAGTGAAAGGGGGAAATTGTTAGGGGGGGAAAGGCTGTCCCAAAGCTAATTCCATACAGGCTTTGTGGACTCCACCCCCACCCCAAGCCAAAGCCAAAGACACTGGGAACTCCAAATCCCATCACCACCCAAGGGAAGGTGGCTGGGACCTGAGGGTGGGGTGAAGCAGCCAGGTGGATATAAAAGGCAGACACGTGGGCTTTGGGAGCCCCCATTTTTGGCTCTCGGCCAGCTCGCAGCGTCCGGCCAGCTCTGAGAGTGCCTTTCGGATCGGGTAGGACGCATTAAAGACTTTATTTCCCTATTTTCTCCCTGAGTTGTACATGTTCCTTATTTCCTTTTCCCTTGTAAATAAACCTTTTATGAACCTTTTGTGTGTGCCTGTAGTGGAGTATTAATAAGTCCTTTTTAAGCACACGGGTGAGGACCCACAGCCAGGCAACCCATTCAATATCGGGGCTGCCCTGTAACAGCTGGAGTCTAACGTGGTTTCCAAGCTTCTCCCGTGGTTGACCAGCCATGACGACCTGTCCCTGAATGATCCGGCTTGTCTTCTAAGGCACTGCATCCTCAGTGAGCCCCAGAGCCTGGTCAGCAAACACAGCCTTGTCCTGGGCTGCGTTCTGGCTGAGTCAGATCGGGGTCAGCACTTCATCTGGTGGTGGAAGTCCCTTGTAAGTGCGTGGGTGAGGACCCACAGCCAGGCAACCCGTTCAATATCGGGGCTGCCCTATAACAGAACCTCTTTTGTCCCCTTTCATCGAGGAGTTTGCTTTTTACTTTATGGTTGCCATTTTTGAAGGCTTCAGACCAGTTTGAAAGGTCCATGCAGGAGGCGGGAATGCAAAAGCCTACCTGGAAGCCCACCTGGGGGCAGGAATGTGGATACCTGCCTGGAGGATTCAGACAATGAGCCTTCCCCCTCCCCCTAGGAGTCTCTTCTCAGACAAAGAAACTCTACCTGCCCCAGGAACCTTTTAGAGCCCTACAAACTTTTCCTGCCATAGGAGCCCAATTTCCCACCTGACCTCTCCTCACTCTATAAAACCCTGACTCCCCCTGACAAGGTGCACGGCTTCACTGACCCCCACCTTGGGTGCATGAGGTCCGCCCGGGGTGCAATAAACTTTCCCTTCCTTGAGAAATGTAGCCTGGCTCTCCTTTTCTTTACCGCGCTGGACCTTTTGATACCGGAATTGTCAGGCCTAGTCTCTCAGCCAGGAACAGATCCCAGGCTGCAGGGCCGCGCTGAGCCCCAGCCACTAGACCCCCTCGGGTTGGTGTCTCACGAAACCGCAGCAGGAACTTCGCAGACTCTCAGGCAAGCAAGCGAGAAGAGGCAGGTTTGTTTTGAGAAAGAAAAAGTTTATTGAGGAGATAAAGAGCAGAAATAAAGTGGGACTCCCAGGCCAGGAAACCAGGCCTGGGAGAGACAAGGAAGCCAAAGTGGAGTTGTGTCTCAGGGAATATATACCTTTTTTTCCCTGATTATTCTAAAGCTCCACCAGTCTCTTTGTGATTGGTTAGTTCTCGGCTGTCTCACTTAATTTGCTTTGGAGTGGGGGATCTTCACATTCCTTATCTGACAGCTTTCTCTTTCCCCATTTGTTGCATCTTTAAATTTATGGCCCAGTCCTCTGGATGAGCTTTCCTGCATTGAAGTTAAACAGCTGCCCTTCTAAGTTGTCCATAAATTAAACCACTCTCCATTTCTCCAATCTCTGCCTCCCTTTACCACCTGAAGGAAACAAGGACCAGCGTTAACAATGTTGTCCTTGGTCCTGAGATGTTTGCTTTTACCAGTGGAATTGGTTACATTCCCTTGGTTGTCCCTATCTCTGAAGCCTCCCTCAATTCTTCAGAGGTTCCCTCCTGCACTGTCCCTAAAACTGCCTAATTCCTAGCTTGCCCTGTGTCTCACTTTCACAGTTGTTTTACAGAATATGCCTTGATTTGGACTGTCTACGTTTTGGTGGTGATTGGGTTCTGGTGAAAAAGTTGTCGGGCAGGATTCTCTTTGTAGGTGTGTCCTGGTCTGCTCCGCACAGCTCATCAGGCAGCAAACTCGCTCCATTGGTCCCACTGTGGAGGTGTGAGCTTCTATG